AGAGAGAGAGAGAGAGAGAGAGAGAGAGAGAGAGAGAGAGAGAGAGAGAGAGAGAGAGAGAGAGAGAGAGAGAGATCACTTGCTGGAATAGCTCGAAAGTCCTGCCAATTCTTACAGACTTATTCAAAACTGGCCAATTGTCCAGTGAACACACCTGCTGATTGATGGGGGGATGTTGGAGGTCGCACTTGGATAACAAATGACAAGGAAATCCCAAGCAGCCACTTTTATCAAAAGCGAGCCATCAGAACGGACCTGTAGAGCATACCTGAAGAGGTTTATGAGCCATCTGTTGTTGTAGTTTCCTTCCACTGGAGCCCATAGTGCGCTGCAGGAGGTAATCGCCTCCATGAAAGAACATCATCAATGAGGCAATAAGTGAAGACGCATTGTTGAGCGGCTTGAAGATCATGTTGACAAGTGAAGGCGTATTGCTGAGCGGCTTGAAGATCGTGTTGATGAAGGTCATCAACAAAACGTGCTTCGTCCCCATACAACTTTAGATAATAATTTGTTCCCATTGGAATACTGATAATTTACTTCTGAAGTGTGGCATCTCCAGTGTACAAAAAAGTGTTTTGTACAACAAAGCAAAGATATTGGAGAATCTGAGAAACGGAAAGCTGTCCAGGCCTGAATCGGTTGTCCATTGGCCACAACAAGGTCCTCAAATAACCATGTTCAGGGCACTACAACGTGGATGTGTGCGAGTGTGTCGAAGGGCATAAGCATGGGCTTCTTCAACAACTTTTGCCACATTATTCAGAATGCGGTCATGAGGGAGGTTGGTGTTCATTGCAGTAAAATCAACAGTGCGAGGAGAGTGGCCACCAAGAGACGATGTATTGTTTTTCAGGTCAGCCGCCACTACATTGGCACTCTGAATGATTGAGCACCGTCAAACACCAACCTGTTGACAGAGCTCAGTATCTCTCACGAAGAGTAGAGATCACTCCTTGCAAAGCAACGCTGAGATACGACAAAGTAGTCGTTATGCTAGCCAATATACAATATTAGTATATACAGGGCTGCATACCCGCCGATCGCCGAACATTTTCCAACCTATCGATACGATCGGCACTCTGTCGGCCAGTATATGGGGGGCATCCACTGATTTTCTTTCAAATCTTACGAGTTCAAGGCGGCTGTACTGCGCTTGCTAAGTA